GTTCGGGTTTGGGTCTGCTTGGGCTGCGGTGCAGCGTAGTTCGCGTAGTTGGGAGTATGCGTCTGTTGGGGGAGTTGGTGTCACCATCTTCATCATCATCATCATCATCATGAACATGTTCACGTTCCTTTCTGGGGTCCGCTGTCACAGGAACCGCTCTTGTCCCGAACACGATCTTCGTGACAGCTGGATTTTTCAAACCCTCATGTCGGAGTCGTGGTTGGAAAATATGTTTGGGGCGAGATCCCGGTGACAGTTGAGGGCTTTGGAGCCATGTGGGAGAAGTGCGCACCAATCACATGGATTCGCAAACCGTGGGGGTGGGATACCGTGGGAGGGGGGTGGGGGGTCGGCGTCGGCGAACCCGGAACTGCGATCATACAAATATATGGTCTGTATCTGCAAGCCGCGACTTGCATAGTCGCGTAGAAGTAGGACAGTCATGGACAGTCTCCGCGTACGGATACACGGAAATGAACGGACGCCTATATGTAACACCTGCTACACACACGTAGGCACTCCACAATATGCACAGAAATACACTCTAGCTTCGTGCTGTACACACATAGAATTCCAGTGTTGCGCGCGTGTTTAGATTTGTTGGGTGTTCACACATTGCTTGTTTGCACATAGGATGCCCGCTTGCAGCGGGGCCTGACTGTCAGCGAATGTGCTTCCACACAAGTCTCAGTATCATGTACTTGCAGAACACGAAATGTATATATTATGAATAATGAAGCTATTCATCATAGCTCTTCTGGTGCTCATGCATGAATGCGTCTGCGAATTGCCCGCCTGCTGGCACTCCTGAATGTATGATCGCATTTTCGTGTGCATGCCCGGTTCACTGGTGCAGCAAGCGTGCCCAAGAAAGACACAAGGAGCACTTAGACCCAGCTGAACGCCTGTGCACTTGAGGCGTTTGATGTTTGGCCCCAAGGCTCACATCCCGCCTGGTAGACAAGCCTGGACTTCGCTGTTTTGAGCCTCACCTACGGACTGGTATGTGTCGAGGCGTACAGTAGCTTCTAACGCCTGGACCCCTGAAGCGAAAACCTTCAAGAAAGGACCTGTCGAGAAAGACTGACGAAAGCTGCAGACGAGTCGAGGGGCCTGCTTCTGGTGACCGCCCCTCGGCGACATGGCACCAGAGCTCTGAAATCTTCTGGCTTCAGCGCAAACATAGGGCAGAAAGCATTTATGATTCCAGGATGACGGAATCGCCCCTGTGCATCTGCAATCATCTGTATATACACATGATACCCGAGCTGCTTGCAAAGCCACATGAGAATTGAACCCGTCTGCATCATCCGACCACACTGAGCCGGAGCGCTAGCGCAGGGAGCTGCCGATTTCAGCTAATTACAAGGGCCGTGAGGTGCTGCAACGATGCCCCTGATGCTGCGAATCATGGAATTGAAGCATCATCCACATTATCGTGCGGAAAGCTTAAGCACTCTTCCCAAACGATAAAATAGCAGCGTCCATGTACGCATGTGACTGTGTGCGTGTGTGTGTGTGTGTGTATATATATATATGTGAACATACACGTACTTACATACATACACATGTATGTATGTACAGGTGTGTCCGAGGTCGAACAAGGAACCAATTATTTTTCAGACAGGAAGGCGTAGATGCAGGATGTGACATACATGAACATGTAAAGATAGATAGATAGATACATAGATAGATAGATAGACAGAAAGATAGATAGATAGCTAGATAGACAGGTAGATAGATAGATAGATAGATAGATAGATAGGTAGATAGGTAGATAGATAGGTAAATAGATAGATAGGTAGGTAGATAGATAGATAAACAGACAGACAGATAGATAGATGGATCGATAGATGGATCAATAGATGGATATATGGATGGATGGGCGCACGGATAGCTGATGGATGTATAGGTCTCTAGACTCTAGACATTTCGATATTAAGATATGTGGATGCATGAATAAATAGGAAAACACACGCATATTATGGACAGAAAATACATCTGTATGTATATAGGTGCCAGAAATAATAGTACATTGCTATACAACTATAAACCAAAACGATCAGAAGTTGTGGTAGCTGCATGTGGATACAGATAATATGTATATTGTATACATACACATAGAACTAAATATGCAAATAGGCAGGGACAAAGATGTACAGACATGTAAGAACTGAAATACTGTATGTAATATATATATATATATAGAAGTATGTAACCATTTATTCATTTATTCATGTATTGGTCTGTTTATATATTTGCGCTTATGCAGTGTGTGCGAATGGCTTCATGGCTGGTTTTCCCGACAATGTTTATAGGGGTAGAGATATGTGTATATATCATCTGGACATATTGGTAGATATATAGGCGTATGTTCATATGTGTGTATGTGTATATACCTGTCTATATATATATAGGCGTATGTTCATATGTGTGTATGTGTATATACCTGTCTATATATATATATATATACAAGTATCTCTATATCTAGATATCTATGCTTATAGCGTTACAGCTGCATACCTGCATATGAAGCTTTTCAGCTATATTGAAGCTATGTAGCTGCATAGCCAAAACGCTGTGCAGATTCATCCATAGCTACAGATGTAAGCTACAGATGTAAGTAACTACACCAAAAAAGCTAGAGGCCGGTCTTTACTATAAGAAAGCATGTGAATGTGTGAATGTCTATTTTACATATGGCTCTTATGGCTGTCGATACTTCCCTTCCTTCCCTCTCTCCGACTCCTATTCTGCATCTCCCCAACCCCCTAAGACTTTGCAGACTTTTCTGGGGCATGCCAAGGTTGGGCGATGTGGACTGGAAAGAGTAGTAAATATGGATCTTCAAAAAGATGATGTTGATACACATCACGTTGGGGATGTTTAGAATCGCGATGATACGCAAAAGTACAAGGAGGAAGAAAACGCTCGCAATAGAAATAAGACAATAATGATCTAATGACACGTGAATCATGACGATACTGGCCTCGGCTTGGGGTTGTGACATCGTGGTCAGCCTTGTGGGGTTCGCCTTTAGTGTTTAGCGTGTGAAGGTACGGCAGGGGAACGGGAGGGAACAGTTGATCAGCTGCGGCTGCGAATGAATGCAGATTCCTGTGGCCATCACTAGCGCTACGCTACATATCGCGTCGCTGTAAGGAGTACTTTCGCAGCCTGAGAGCATGCTGAATGCTACACCTGTAAACTCATGGAATAAGAACTCGCGAATAAAAGAACTCGCGAATAACAACGCACGTGCGAGTAGAAGCTGACGGGACTAGTCAGATGAAGACGATGATTTGTAGCCTGCAACAGCAAAAGGCTGAAGAGATTGTGCCTAACTGTCGCTCCCTGAGGGGCGTGGACAGAAGAGTCTATCCTTCTAAACCGAACGTCCTCCAAAACAGGCCATGTCCAGATTGCGCAAGAATGCCACGCAAGCTTCGAGCTACGCCGTCGCGGAGTGTGTCACGGTTTCGTTTCGTTTGTCGGTTCTTTTTCCATCCGCCTCTCTGTGTCTTGGGTTCGGGGTTCGAGATTTGGCTTGCAGGGTCAGCTTCCGGGAAGATACTCTTGCCATCAGACGGGATGCATGCCTACCGTAGTGAGCTTCGCGATTTCGAAGATACTGTTGCTCAGTGGTCCAAGCAAGAGCTGCTACTGAAAGTGTGAACTCTCCCAGAGAAGCTTCCTGAAGAAAAATATGTACAATTTCCAGGCCGCAGCGACGAGGTGCAGCGAAAAGGCTCCAAAGGAGCCCCGAAGCAGAGAGAGACGAAGCAGGCGAATCAAATGGCTCTCAACAACGAGACTGTGCCAGCCGCTGGCTACTCCAGCTTGTGTCTCAAGTACCGCCCCACGTTCTTCGAGACGCGCATGTCG